TTGCAAATGTCCAGAAGCTCTTTGTGCTTATCCGGTTGATCTTTGTTCAGTTGTTTTTGACAATTTCAACCGGCTGAAGTAACTATTTGCATTTCATGAGCAGCTCTCAACAAGTGGTGCCCGCTCAACACCCAACTCAATTTACAACAGAACAGGGCTGTACATTTCACTTGTTTGAGCCGGCGCCGGCGCTCTTCCTTCTTCGCTGCTCGCTACACCGCTCGCAGTACCACTTGCCCTTCGGTGACTCGGTTAGTCCGACACATTGGAAGTGGAACCATTCAACCGGGCACTGTTTATTATCGCACATTATCATCTCTCCATAGGAGACCTAAATTTTACCATTTTGTTAGCGAACTCTACCTGAAAGAACTGAAACAGTAAATGCTACAGGAGAAGCAACCTGATGGCACACACAGTATGTTGGCTCATTCGGATCCACCGGCATTTCCATCACCGGCCGTACGTCCATGAACGACTTGTAAGGCGCAACTAAAAAGCACTGTGGTATTTATCAAAAATGTAACATACAGGATTCAACAAGTACAGAAAGCTAAAATATAGAGCTATCAACAAGTGCGCAACTCAAATGAGATTATACATCATGCGTACTCGTCCACTCGGGGTGCACGCTATGCTTCAACGGATTGCAGAGATCTACCGAAACTGAAATAATTTCCTTCTTCCTCCTTAAAATACCTTCTTCTGGGCACTGTGTTCAATGGCGCAACAGGCCCTGTCATTTTTATCGCCAGTTCCAAACGGAGACAGGGTAGACGGAGAGGCGCAGTCTTAGGAAGAGATTAAACCCGTATGAGAATGCATCTTGAAAGCGCTCTGTGTACCCGTGTGCGAATGCAGGGCCTTACAATCGCAGAGTTTTCCAGACTCCCGCTACCGGCTTACTCGCTTTTGCACTTCCAACATTACAGCCCCCAGTATCAGAGGGCAATTCAAGCGCATAGTGCTCTGAATCAGAATAAATAGACTGACTTCTGCTCAACTCTGAATTTGCGCTAAATAAGAAAGAGATATCTAACAGGCAAACAAAAGGGAAAATAGCTTGCAAAGGAAATGTTTGGCGACGCGCACCGAGCGGGCCCGTGCGATCATGCGTTTTGTAGTGTTTCGTGCTGTAGTAAGATCGCTCGGAAACCCAATAGCAAGAACTGTGTGACATACTGGTCTTTGAATTTCAGGAAGCTAACTGTCAACGCTGTACCTGCGCAGCGAAGATTCCCAAAAAATTTCAGTCCCCCAGCTTTTCTGGTTCCGGAGTTACCCATTTTTCCGCCAAAAATCTTCATGGGGCTGCGAGTGAGAACCACATATAACTGGGGCTGAATTTGGTAAATTTAAGTTGCACATGGGCTGGGAACACTCTCTTAAAATCTCAGACTCCCATCTTTCCCAGTTCCCGAGTTACTCGTATTCCCGCCAAAAATCTTCACGGGGTAGTACGTGACGACCACAAATGTCCGGGGTCTGGATTTGATAGATTTAAGTTGTACATGAGCTGGGGACATTCCTTGAAAATTTCAGTTTCACAGCTTCCCTGAGTCCCGAGTTAGCCAGTTTCCCGCCAAAAATTTTCGCAGGACCGTACGTGAGAACCACGCAGGCCCGGGGGCTGAATTTGATAAAATTAAGTTGTACCTGGTCTAGGAACATTCCTTTAAAATTTCAGCCTCCTAGCTGTCCTGGATCCCAAGTTAGCGATTTTCTCGTCAAGAACCCTCAGGGACCGTACGCGGAAACCGCGCGCACCTCGAGTCTGAGTTTGAAATCCTTGAGTTCTCTATGGACAGGGAATACATTCCCAAAATTTCAGCTTTCTAGCTTTTCTGGTTTCCGCCTTAGCGATTTTCCCTCCAAAACTTTCACGCGCTCATACGCAGGGCCTAGACGTGCATGACGATTGGTATCGCGGTCCTGTGGTGGCACCTGCCCGGGGAACATACACGCAACATTTTGGCGCCAGAGCTTGCTTGGGTGCCGAGTTGAAATATCCAGACAGACGCACACACAAACACACACACATATACATATCCACACATACAAACACACGTATACATACGCACATATGCACATCGAAGTCGTCGCAGTATGCGTTTTCGCATTTGCATATATGCAAAAACGCATAAAAAGGGAAGTGCCAGCGATGCTCAAATGGGAGAGTATGGTGTTGTTGTTTGCTTACCAGTGCTGCTGTTTGCCGTTGACGCAGCCGATGCCACTGCAGCAGAACTCAGATACTTTTGTCGCAGAGTGGCCTCGAACTTGGCTGAATCGTTATCCAAACGCCTGATGTGCTTGTCCACCAGCTGGTACGTGTCAGATGCCAGAGCAATTTTTTGGTTTGATAAGCGATCAATTTCGGCAAACATCGCCTGAAAACATCAATTTCAGCGCCCTACGCAACTGGCTGGATGTGTTTTCAACGTCCAGGATGGCAAGAAGGTGGTGCCTCCACAAGCCTGAGCAGAAACACTGCAAATCGCACTGAAAGTGCTTAAAAGGCACCCACCTCAGCAGCGGTGCACTTTTCGTTTTCGAAGCTCGGCCGTGCAGTGAGCGAGTCATCGCTGTGCGCAAGCAAACACATCGAGTGCTATAAAGCAACAGTTGCAAAGTTGATATGCGCATGGGCAAGGGACGTACCATAATTTCTTTATTGAATGCAACAGCAGCATTCTTCGGCATCTTCCTGTACGATTTCACGAAACCCTTCAACTTCTGGTCCACCTCAGCTGCTTTCTTCTGGCACTCAATGTCCAGCTCACGGATTGTCTGCAGATTCTTCGCCAGCTCCCTCGGTAACGTCGACAAATTATCCAGAACATGCTCCGATAGCAATGCCATCTAAAGCAGCTAGCTTAGGTTGCACGCAACGCAGTGGACGGAATCGTCGTCAGAACACACACACACACCCCAAGGTGCATTTGATGTCTGCACCGACAAATGACATTTTATTTTAGACCGCTACAAAACGCACAAAATGCAAGCGAACGGAATTTTTCGATTCAAAATTCAAGAAACTCCCTTTGCCGGGCAAGCTGCTGCTGCAAGTGGCCTGTAGCTGCTGTTCAGGCCACAGGCACTTCTCTCCTGGCACAGCGCTGCTCGAAAGCTGCCCATTTCAGGCCAACCTTTGTAAAGTCAGGTAGAAGAGAAGTGTGACAGAGAGCCGTGCGCCCCATTCCGGAGCTCCAGGAGCAGCATGAACTTCGCGCCCAGGCTGCGTGAGCTCAGTTGGCAGTTAGAAACAGACCTGATGTGCTTCAAATTAACGTCCAATCAGCTGCTTCCATGAACGCTGCAAACCGTGCCCTTGTGACCCACGTTAAGCGGTGCCCGTGCTCTTTGGCCAAGCACAAGACCGCATGCTGCACCACCAAAACTTCAGCCTCCAAGCTTCCCAGGTTCCACGACTGCAGCACCACCCGCCCGCGCATAAACTCCCTGAAGCTTGCCTCAGTGTGACCCAGAGACGGGAAGTGGGATACTTCCTGCGCCACGTGCAAGCCACGCACACACACACAAACGGTCAGCGCCATGGCCAATAGCCTGTGCAGCGTCGGCGACAACCCCCCTCCCCTTCCCTCTTCTTCGTCCTTGCCCAACTCGGACAACGTCAACTGACGCAGCAACAGACATTTTACATTACAGAACAAAGACGCTCGAGTGTGTTAAGCCGTCCTTAAGCGGATCGCACCTCCACACTCCCTCCTCCCAGTTGATGGCATCTCTACCGAAAATCGTATTCAGCTCGGCTTGGCCAGATCGGAAGGCGAATTGCAGTGAATGAGGAGTGATGGGCACAGCGCTAGAGAGACGGGAGGGTGGGAGTGCGGACCAGGGTGGTGGTTTAGGTTTCGGGGGTTGTCACGAAGGGAAAGGGACGGTGGAAATTAGTACAGATTTTGCCTAGTGGTAGGGATAGCAAACAGGTGCGACTTTACGGAAGAGGAACGCTAAATGAGTTTCGATGCTCAGCACGAAATCTGCCGTTCAGGGGAAATTAGCGATCTCGAATGCAACAGCTGGAACCCTACCTACCTGGACGAAAAATCCGGTATCAGGACCCTCGTAACACGAACTCAAAATCGAATATTGCGAGACCGAGCTGAGCTACGCTAACCCCCACTGGTTGCCTGAACTCGCAGTAAACACACAGTGTAATGAACACCAACCTAGCAAAATGCCAACACCGGCCTCCTAGTTCGATATGTCACTAAAAACTGGCTCAGCCGTCCAAAACAGGCCGTTATAAAAACCCGGCTCGGTGGTGCTTGCACTGTGCTCTAGCATCTCTGTCAACGCTATTTCGCGTTCGCCACTGGCCGGAACCGCTTGGCACTTTGCCAGGCGCTCCGGAAGCGCACCCACTGTTTAGCGGCTGAATTGTGTAAAAGGAGAAAGTGGGAGATGGAGGTGGAGGGGGGGGGAGGGTTGG